TTCCATTCTTCCGGTGAGCCGCTGAACATCCCGCTTCGTTTTCGGCTCAGGAAGGTCGAGCGCCGCTTTGACTTTAGAGGGATTGGCATCAATCCCCCTTTTGCTGACTATGAACCCAAGGAATTTCCCTGACTTCACGCCGAAGACACACTTCTTCGGATTCAGCTTCATTTGATGCTTTCTCAAGGTGGCGAAAGTTTCAGCCAGGTCCTTTACATGGTCCTCTGGTTTTTTGCTTTTGACGATCGAATCGTCAACATAGACTTCCATGTTTCGGCCCTTTTGATCGGCAAAAACTTGATCCACCAGCCTTTGATAGGTTGCCCCCGCATTTTTCAATCCGAAGGGCATCATTTTGTAATTGTACACCCCAGCGTTCGTGACGAATGCTGTCTATGCTCGATCGTCGGGGTGCATAAAGATCTGATGATACCCCGAGAATGCGTCCATGAAACTAAGCAAGGCATGGCCACTTGTCGAATCGACTAGCTGGTCGATCCTCGGCAAGGGATAGAAATCCTTTGGACAAGCCTTATTTAGGTCCGTGAAGTCAACGCACATCCTCCAGGTACCATTGGGCTTCTGAACCATCACCACATTTGCCAGCCATTCTGGATATTGGTAAGGTTCGATGAATCCTGCCTCCAACAATTTTTTGACCTCGGCTGCGATGTCTCGGTTCTTATTGGCGGAGTAATTCCGCTTCTTTTGCTTAACTGGTCGACACGTTGGGTCAACATTAAGCTTATGGGAGATGAGGTCTGAACTTATCCCGGGCATATCAGCTGCCGAGAAAGCAAACACATCTCTGTTGTCCCGAAGGAGCTGAATAAGTTCACAACGGGTGTTCGGATCAAGGTCCATCCCGATTGTTACACATTTCTCAACGTCTCCTTCGGTCAACTCAACTATTTCAGTCTGTTGGTCCATGTCCATTGCTGATGGACTGGACTCTTCATAATCTGGCCTGCTGCCAATGTCAGCAGGTGTCCCAGTGTTTTTGTTCTTCGGCTGGCTCTCTGAGTCTTGCGGCTCAGCTGAAGAGCTAGCCTTTTCCCTTTCGGGCCCTTTACCTCTGGGTACAGATCCTTGGGCCGAAGCACTTAGGCCTTTCGGCTTTTTTGTGCTCGGCTCTCTTTCTTTTTCTTTCTCCCCCTCATCCTTGTCATCTGGGCGACTAGTGGATGGTTTGAGGTAGTTGCACCTTCGGGCATCCTTTTGGTTGCCCTGTATCCTTTCGGGGAAGCCGGCGTCTGAGACGTAAATCATCAGCTGATGATAAGTTGAGACGACCCCTTGGATCTCATGAATTATGGGTCTCCCCAAAATCACGTTGTACACTGAAGGAGCGTCGATGACCAAAAATTCAATCATGACGTTCCTGGCTGCCTCATCGCAGCCGATGGTGACAGGAAGTGTCACCTTCCCATCTGGATAAGTTGAAGCCCCATTGAACCCGGATACCGGGTAGGGTACCAGCGTAAGGTGCTTGGGCTTCAGCTTGATTTGATTGTAGGCCTTTCGGAACAGAATGTTTGCTCCACTGCCACCGTCAACAAGGACCTTACTGACGTCGTGGTTGGCCACCGTGGTGATGATCACCAACGGATCCTCGTGAGGGAACGTAATCCCCCGGCAGTCGGCGGCTGAGAACGTCATGTTCGGCACCGGCGACTGGGGAGATTGAATGTCAGCGTTGTTCACCTGGTGAGTCAAAGCTCTAAGGTGTCGCTTGTGCTCCCTCCGAGAGTATATTCCTCCCGAGATAACATTGATCGGAGGGAATTTCCCCTCCGGCTTTTTACTGTTTTTCCGGGGGAAGTCGAGGTCTTGCCGAGAGTCCTTTGCTGACTTCTCGGATTCTTTTTTCTCGCGGTGATCCGCGATGTATTTTTTCAAGTATCCCTTCCGGACCATGTCCTCTATCTGGTCCTTCAGTTGGATACACTCCTCAGTGTTGTGTCCCGAAGACTCGTGGAACTCGCACCACTGATTTTTATTTTTTCGCTGATACCACTCTGGGAGTGGTCTCGGCTTTCGGTAACTCTGTTCCTCCTTCGTCACGCTGTAAATTTTAGCGCGTGGAAGAGAAAGCAGAGTGTAGGACTCGTATCTGCCTGTGTATGAGGCAGATCTTTCCTTCTTTGGGTCGCTGGCCAAAGATTGCTCCGAGGCCTTTGACTTTCCCTTTGCCTTATGGCCTTGGCCTTCAGACAAGGGTATTTGCCTTTGTTTCCCTCCCCCAAATTGAGGTTGGGTTTTCGCTTTGTTCCATTCTTCGGCTCGGATGAACTTATCCGAGGCATTCAGAGCTTCCTCCAAGGTCTGCGGGGTATGCATGACCATGAAGTCTAGGAACTTTCCGGGCTGAAGGCCATTCTGCATTGCAAAAACGGCTAGCCCCTGGTCCAGCTGAGAGACGCTGGATGACTCGTTACTGAAACGGGTCAGATAGTCTCGGAGGCTTTCGGTTTCCCCCTGTTGTAGACTCATGAGCTCTGCAGTAGTCTTCTCTCGGCGGTTTGCCGTGGAAAACTTGCTCCTAAACTTGGAGGACAGATCATCCCACCCTGTTATGGAGCCTTGCCTTACTCCCTTGGAGATCCACGCTTGCGCGACCCCCTTGAGAGTGGTTGGGAAATATTTGCACCAAGTCGCCTCGGATCTGGGGCAAAGATGCATATGAGTCTCATACGAGGCCACGTGATCCTTTGGATCCGAGGTCCCGTCGTATGTGATGTGCGGCGGTATTTTAACCGTGGGTACGCGCTCTTCCAGTATCCATTGCTCGAATGGTGAACTGGCGGGTTGCATAACGGCCTTGCCCTTGTTCCTGGCCGAAGGGACCGCGCTCCGCCCTCTTAGAGAGGTAGGAGTGGTTTTCGTCCCTGGCTGGGAAGTCTGGGCCTCGGCTGCAGGGAACGAGAGGCGACTGCGCACGCTCGGTTCCTTGCCGCCGAGTCGGTCAAGGACGCTTCGGCGAGCAGTCTCAGGTTCTTGGTGAGTAGATTCTGGCCGAGAAGCTGAGCTGCTGCTCTTATGCGCTTCTGGTCTTGAGGATGAGGATCCTTTTAAAAATTGAGGGTTCTTTTTCCTCTCTTTTTCATTTTTCCAGGAATCCTCTTCCCACTCTTCCAGTTCCCGGAAGGAAGGAAGCTTCCCACCATCATGGTCTAACTTCCTCCGCTGATGTCGGGTATGCGGAGGAGTTCGATCACGAGGTGGTGGCATATTTTGTGCCCTCATCGCCTCCATGAGCACTGTCAGCGCTCTCGCCACCTCTTCCGAGCTGGGCCCCGTCAAAGGGGTCCTCGGCCGAGTATGGGAATGAGGGCGCTCAGCCGATGGTTGGCTTTGGGGCACTGAATGTGTCCTATGATCGGACTCACCCCTGCTAGACCGAGAGTGACTCGGCCTATAATGAGAGTCATGAATTACGGGAGAAAGGGAATCCTCCTTGTATGATCCTCCCCCCGAACTGGCACCCTTGGGAGAGTTCCGGTCCGGCGAGGGTGATGGTGTAGGGGTTTTAGGCTTTTCGCCCGCTCCTTGACGGAGGCTTTTGCTCTTGCGGTTCTTAGCCATTGCTACTAAGATAATTGCAAGATGATCTTGGTTAGAAATTTGGCTTAAAGATTTTTGAAAGTCTTCCCCACAGACGGCGCCAAATTGTTTCGGGTGAAAACAATGGGACCTTGCCGAAGGTCCGCTGAAACGGAGAAGACTAGATTCGGTCCAAGTTATGTTGGGCCGAAGGTTTCCTGCACAGTAAACACACGTAAACTAGCCTCGGGGGTGTTGCCGAGGAAGGCCCCTCCGATGCTAAAGTTAGTACAATGTGTAGAAAGAGAACACTATGCAAGAGAATTAGTTGCTTGAGGCTTTGCTTGAATATATGAGAATGTATATGAGAATATGTGAATGAATCAACATAATGAATGTATGAATATTGATGGCTTTTATACCTCTTCATACATGGAGAGGTTGGGCCTTAGCCCAATTGGCTTGCTTTGAGGGCTGACCTTTGACTTTTGCACAATTGGAGAGTTGAACCTTGACCTTGGGCTTTTAATTGGATCATTTAATGCCTAGGCCCAATTGGACTAAATTGGACCCAAACACATTGTATTTGGTTAATTACACTGATTGCTAACTTGCTAAGTGCGAGAAAAATGAATTACCCGCTAATTCTTTTGGTTATTCAAATTTGAAAAATAAAAAATGTTTGTCGTTTTTTACGACTATTTTTCTTTTCTCTATACGAGTCTAGAGTCGCACACTACATTCCTGATGATTAAGTTTAGAGTCTTGCACGATCATTAAAAAAGTACTAAATGATCGGGGAATTACAACTCGAACACTATTGACTATTGATGAACTTTATATTTATCCAAATGAACATTGGAAATATACTACTTCCTCCGTTCTTTTTTTATCGCATCACTTACTACTTTAAGAAGTTTACTTATTATTGCATCATTTCCTTTTTAGGATAAAAAATATCTAAGTTCACACTGCAAATACCCAACATACCCTTACTTTTTATTTTATTTTACATTACATGGACAATTTTGTATTTTTACGCTTCTCTCTCTTACTTTTTTCCACTACCAAATTTTGCATCCAAAATCCTACAATGCAATAAAAAAAAACGGAGAAAGTATCTTCTAACTCTTCAATTTCCTTGACCTCCTTTATCCATCCCCCTTTTGTCTAGCTCTCTGATTTCATTTTCCTTCCCAAGAAAATTCAAAACTTCTCCATTTAAATTACGATTAATTTAATTGTAAAACATCAAGCTTGACTCTAATTAACCAGATGTTTTAGATACTGTACTAACTTACTAAAATAAAACTTACAGAGTACTTTATACAAAGTATAATCATATTAGTCTCTCATTTTATGTTATGTTTCACTGTCAATTAAAACTTGAACTCATAAATTAAAACAACCCAAAACAAAAGCAACAAACTGCAGTAACATAAGGAAGAACCATTCCCTTAAAAAAAATATAAGGAACAACCAAGTAGGAAATTTTTATAAGTGAACAAACTGTTCAATATGCAATAACATCGGATATTACACCAGTCAATCCATCAACTAAAACCCTAATTTCATATACTCCTAACTTTTACTAACATATTTTTCCCAACCATAAACAAAATCATCCTCAAATTGTTAAAAACACTAATTAGAAACCCTAAAAATCCTGAGATTCAGATAACTTTTCACCCTTGTCGCTCTTAGATTTGCCGGTGTTCTTGGGAAGCAAAACAGAGTGGATTTTAGGCAGAACACCTCCATTAGCAATAGTCACACCCCCTAAAAGTTTGCCCAATTCTTCATCATTTCTGACAGCCAATTGAATATGCCTTGGTATGATTCTTGTCTTCTTGTTGTCTCTTGCTGCGTTTCCCGCCAATTCCAGAACCTGTTCATTCACCATTTCACCAATTAACAGAAGAACCAAAACAAAAAGTTCACATAATAATTCAATTTAGTTAACATCGTTTCATCACAATTAAATCAATATAAATTGAAACAGTAAGTAGTAAATTTCACAGAATCATAAATCAAATCTTAAATTGGTGGTTTCACTTTAAACACAATCTTAACAATCAGAAGTTAAAAATCATAAAATCAAATCATCATTTAATTCCAATCAACTATCTTAAAAATATATATATCATAATAAAATCTTAGAATACCAAAACTGTTGAAGAAAAAAATTAGCAGCAAAAAAAAAAAAAAAAAATAAATAAATAAATAAATAAATCCCTAGAAATCAAAAATCGTACTCAGAACCAGAAAGTTCACTTCAAAGTCAATCAAAAGTAAATTCAGCAGAAATCTACATACGTACTCAAATAAAATCCAGGAAAAAAGATAAAGAAAAAAAAAAACAACGACGACGAAAAATTGAGAGTGAAAATTCAAAAATGGTACCTCAGCAGCGAGATACTCAAGAACAGCAGAAAGGTATACAGGAGAACCAGACCCAACTCTCTGAGCATAACGACCCTTCTTCAAGAATCTAGCAATGCGACCCACCGGAAACTGGAGACCGGCCTTGGAAGAGCGAGAAACTGACTTCACGCCGCTCTTTCGCTGGCCTCTTCCGGCGGTGCTCTTGACTGTAGCGACATCTTTGCCGACCATTTTTTATGATTGATTTTGCAGAGAGAATTTGAGGAGAGAGAAAGTTGAAGAGTGAAGGATTAGAAAGAGATGAAGAGGTTGTGAATGAGTAAGGAGTTGAATGAAGGGGTGTTTGATATTTATAGGGGAGCATAAGATTGATTCTATTGGTTGGTTTTGGTTTACACGGATTGCCAGCGTGGAGGGTGGTATGTGCGAAAATTTGAATTGCCCGCTAAGTGTTTTGGTTTTTAAAAATTGAAATATTTGGCGTCAGCATTTGGTTGGAAAGTACTTTGTAATTGTTTTGACTTCCTCCTTTTTTATTAACGCAACAAAGGAAATACTTCGTATTATAAAACCTTCAAAAGAAGGAAAACATTAGGTCTAGTTCACTTTACCTTAAAAAATAATTTCAGTTCAGAAATAATAATTTCAGTTCAGCAAAAATAATTTCAGTTCAATTCAGTAAAAATAATTACAGTTCAATAAAAATCAATAACTTTAAAGAAAAATATAACAGAAAATCGGTAAAAATAATTTCAGTTCAGCAAAAATAATTTATGTTCAGTAAAAATAATTTAAGTTCAGCAAAAATAATTTCATTTCAGCGTAAACGGGGACTTGCACCAGCATCAAGAGAGTTTGAGCAAAAAGAGATGCTAATAATGCGAAAATTGCAATACGTAGCCGTAGTGGGTGACTTAGTGCCACACCACCTACTACTGGGAAAACGAGTGCCCAAAATATTACACATCAGACTAAAAACATAAAAAGCAATAGAAAAGATGAGGCAGTCCAACAGCCTAGAGAAAGAGCAGTCAGTTAGCATTGAAAGCAACCATCTAAGCATCAAACGGTACCTTGATGCAATCAGGGACAATGAGATGATCCATATTCCCAACAGCCATTTTGTTTAAGGATGTTTTCTTTCCCATCCCCATCCCAGCCTAACATTCTCATCCCCATCCCCATCTCCATCTCCGCGACGAGTCTAAAACTCATCCCCATCCCCGACGGGTACAAATTCAAAACCATCCCCGCCCCACCCCCCACTTGGATATCCACCCCCACCTAATCCTGTAGAGAATTTTTCAACTCACCATTGAGCCCTACTGTGGTTCATGCTTTTAGGCATGGCGGCGTTCCAAGGAAAAGAAGTTAGAGAAAAAGAGTCGCCAACAAGTTTTAGGAACTTGTAAACCGTTCACGGGTGTGAAAGTTACACCTCATTCACGATCACAGAGATCACTAACTCCATAGTGGTCCAAAATCATGACTGGATGTTCGAGGATGATAGTACGAATCCAACCTAAAAGAGATTGAACTCGCCCTAAATAGGCATCTACTCAATTCTTATGATATTCACGTGCACTTTCTGATCAACATACATACATCAAGTTGATCCTAAACCTGTTTAATCTACGTTGGTTGATTATTAATACACAATCAAATCTATTATTGGTGATCACTTGAATTAAAGTTGTAGACACCTGATTGTGTCTCCCCAACAACCAAACCCAGTGATGAGTACCTTTCACGTCTCTGATTATCGAGTTAGGTGAAGAGTTGAAGAGTCTCGTGAATTTTCCTTAGCCTTGACCTTACCCCTAACCTTTTTTATAATGTTTTAAGCCAAAATCATTCATTTCGTATCCAATTTATAAAATCGTCCAAGATAGTTTATTTTGGTCCATAATCTGGGTCCAACTATTGTGTATTTGGATGGGGCTTGAAAATATCTTTCCAACGATATATTATAAGCCCAAATCCGACTTAAAACGAATAAGTTATGGCCAAAATACTAAACCAAGCCCAAACCGGACTTAGGTCCATCTTACTTACGATCCAATGACCATGTGGAGGGTTCTTTAACCTTAATCCCAATCCTAAACCAATTAAGATTTATTAGGAGCCTCTATAGGTCTCTAGAAAGTTCTAATCTATCCTTCTCGAAAGATAAAATCAAGAGTTTAAAATTGAATAAAACTCCTCTTTTTGATAATCCTTGTTCCATTCAAATCGAAAGACAGTCAGATATAATTTTCGTGTCTCATAATTTTTATCCAAATCTTGGATTATTGTATATCCCTTGAAATTATCTTTCTAATGATATATTATAATCTCAATTCCGAGCTATAACGAAAAAGATATGAATGAAATACCAAACTCTATCTAAAATTGACACCGTCCTACTATTTCGGCCATATCTTTTAATCTAAGAAATATTTTAATATTCTTCTAATTGGGTTGGAAATTAGACTTCAAGACCTTTCCAACGACATATTATTTATCTTATTCCAATTTTTAGATTAAAAGTTATGATAAAAACAAAAACCGCAAAAACTGTTGTCCATCGAAGGAGTTTTATTCCTATTCAAATTCAGATGTTTTCTAATCCTTCGACTCTCTTTTTTCCCTATAAATAGAGGTTGTTTCACCCCATTTTCAATAATCAACTAGCTTGATCACCAACAATCATCATCCTTCTCTCTCTAAGCTAAAGCTTATTCTTTCTCTTTCTCTCTTGATTTTCTTAACCTTAGCCTAAACACATCACACCATACGACCTTTGCGAGACTCTAACACACCTAGACAAGCTCGAAGTTGCCTTCTCCCTCGACGTGAAAGGTTAATTCTAAGGGTTTGGTCCCAAATCCATATTTCAGTTATTATTAATATTATTGTTTGATTTAATCTTTCTTGAAGTTACTAACGTATGTATTGTTTTGATAGGAAGAGATACGAGACATCAAAGTGAGTAGATTTATTATCTTTATTCCTTGCTTTTGATATAGAAATCATGCTTAGAATATTATTTTAATTCCTAGTACTATGTTAGGATGCCTTTTTAATTCCTAATATCATGTTAGAATGTTGATTATGATTTCTAGTATCATGTTAGGGTGCTATTTTAATATTTCAAATATCATGCTTTCTAGTATCATGTTAGGGTGCTATTTTAATATTTCAAATATTTCATCCATCACGGGAATTCTACTAATGGTAGTTCTATCACAATCAAAGAGAATAAAATTTGGAGTAAAATTTTCAAAAGTTTCGTTCCCAGTGAGTTTAGAATCAAAGATATCCTTGAAATAGTTAACAGCCATATCTTTAAGTTTATTATTATCCTCAATAAAATTATCATCATTATCTCTTAAGCATAAAATTCTACCCTTAGTCTTGTTTATCTTGGCCAAAATATGAAAGTATTTAGCATTATGATTTGCATATTTTCGCCAATTAATTCTGACTTTTTGAGCCCAAATAATACGCTATTTCTATTATTAAGATCCGCAAGGAACTCTTCTTCCAAATTGAATAAAAAATCAGAATGCCTTTTAAGTAAATCTGAATACCATTAATTCTAACTAAAAGTCTTTTTTTCGATTTTAAGGTTTCCAAAAATTTTCCTGTTCCAATTGTGAATATTAGAAGAAAAATTGTCTAAACCAGTTAAAAAATCCGAGCTAGGGTTCTTCCAATTATTCACAAAAAATCACCAAACGACGAATGTTCAAGCCAAACCTCTTTGCATCTAAGGGGGAAGGGGCCATGCAAGGGGGCATTAGCAATATCAACAAGAATCGGACAATGGTCCGAATGAGTGAGGGGTAAATGATGTACCTTTGTGTGAGGGAAAGCATCCAACCAAGTAACATTAGCGACAACACGATCCAGCTGTTCACGAATTAGGGCTATCCCTTCCCTTACATTCGTCCAAGTGTAAGGATTGCCTTGATATCCTAAGTCAACAAGACCAGCAGCATCCATAAAATCTACAAAGTCACGACATTGATTAGGTCGGAAAAAGCGTCCACTCGATTTTCTCGTTCGGAGATGTAATTTCATTCAAATCTCCTAGCAAAGAGCCAAGGAGTGCTAGGAGAAGGAATAATAGCTTACATGTCATTCCAAAGTGCATGGTGATCCTTCGGAATGCTAGGAGCGTGCATTCCCGTGATGAGAACCTCATGATCCGGCGCAATCGAGTGTTGTTTAAAGTGAAAGAGAGAATGAAATAGATGACCCTTATCAGCAAAGGAGAGGAGATCAACCGTTCCTTTCCAAAATAACCATATCCCGCCATGAGAGGCATTAGCCTCAACGACTTTAAAATCTGAGAAGCTAAGTTTCCCCATAACATTTTTAGCATGAATTGGTTTTACATTTGGTGGTTTCGAGAAGAATAAAAATACAGGGATGGTAGGTGTCGATATAGTGCTTTGCATGAGGCACAAATTCATCCTTAGAGGCTCATCGAACATTCCATAAAAAAAATTTCATATTGAGAGTAGGAAGGGGGCGTTGCAAAGTAAGTTTTCCAATCCCTCCAATGCTCCATTAAACCCATTGGGCCCAAGTCCTCCAACCGAATCGGGTCGTCAACATGTGAGCCTTTTGTAATTGATTGAGATCGTTAAAGAAGGTAACTCCCACTTGCACACCCACTACATCCTACTTTGTTACAAACATCACAAGTCTACGATTGGGGGTTCCCATATCGTGGGCTCGTGTTTCTAAAGTTAAAGGTGCGACTTCCATTCGTCTTGGGGTTGGAAGTGACTCTGGGATAATTTTAATTTCCTTGGAAGAGATCTTTGTTCTCCTCTTTTTCTTAGTGAATCCAGTAACTTTAGAGCACCCGCCATCTCCATTGGAGGTGATGAAAATGAAGGTAGTCGTTTCCATGCACATGTCAGACGATTCATCAGAGGTCTCTTCCCTTTGTTTGGAAAGAGATCTAGGAGAGATGATGGAGCTGCTGGAGGGCTGTTTGATGGCCGTGTTTGGGGAATTTGAAGATGAAGGGATTTTGGAGAGGAGATCGACATGAGCAGCGGATTGATCTTCGAAGCTTGAGGCTTCTCCGATTCCGGTGCCAAGAGATTCATGGTTTTTTTTGGGGTTGCATGGCTAGGAGAGGTGAGAGAGTTAGAGTGAGAAATGTTGGCTTGTGAATGCTGAGGGTGTTGAGAAGGGGATGAAATAAAAGAATTTAAAGAAGGATTTTGGGGAGAAGAATTAGGGATATCAATGGCCATATCCACGAATTGACCAATAGAAATGCTTGCATGTCTGGGAAGTTCACTTGAAGAATCTAAAAGATTTTTGTCTT